ACGCCGCGCCCGAGCCAACAGGCACCCGTGAGCAATATGGAGCAGCGCGGACCCCACAAGCACCGAATCCAGAAGGCTTCTGTCTACTTCTGACGAGGCTTGTAGTACTGGGGTGGGGCTCCGGTGGCCTCTGCCACTTCCCCGGGGGGCGTTTTCCGCCACCGATCGCTGCTGTCTGGACTGCCCCGGGGCCCGGGAGCGGCCCCTGGAGGCCAAAACGAATCAAAAAGAAGGCCCGGACTGACAGAACCTCCGTTCGAGGAGGAGGAGGAGGAGGAGGAGGAGGAGGAGGAGGAGGAGGAGGAGGACGCCAAGCATTATAGTATGAACTTGTTGCCGTTGCTTGCTCGAAGAGCGCCCCAGAGGAGCTATCTGTATTGTTTCGCCGAGCCCTCCGGAGAGCAGGCAATGCTGAACCAGTACTGGCTCGGGATACATGTGTGCTAGTCGCAAGAAGGAGCGGTCGACACCACCGTCACAATCGCTTGAGGGTTCACAAGCTTTCTTCACGGCGACCTCCTCTGGGGCCGTTCGTGACGACCCAGGCACCCCCGGAGAGCTCCCGACCAGGCGCAGCCGCTAGAAAGCACCCCGAGGCGAGAACAGCCCCAAGGGCCAGCGAGAACCCAATCTAAACTCCTTCAGATGTCTGGGCGCTCTTCTTCCCAGACCCCCGACGTCGTCATGTTCTTCTGGCGTGGACCCCCAGAGGCCTGGACTGGACCCACTCCCTGGGACCGATGTTTCATCCCGAATTGTGCTTTTCGACGGTCTCGGGACCCAGCGATACGGCTGGAAAGTATCCCAAACCTTGCGGCCCGACTCCTGGAGCTCGCCCGCGACGAGCTGCTTCGTGTACCCCGCCGGCACGCCCCGCATGGTCACCGTGTAGACCGAGAGGCCCGCGTGTGCTCCTGCTGCCGCGCGCGGCAGCGCGCGCTCTGGCGGGGGGGTATAACGGGGATGCCAGCAATGCAAGTGCCACCAGGTTGCCTGACAACGCTCCAAGGGGTCACGGTGCAGCAGCGAACTCTGTCACCAGTTGGACCCCGACAAAGCCAAACGAGTCTACTGGGGCTCTGTATTGGACGTCCATACCCAAGGGCCCCGATCAGATGGGGCAGATACAATGGAAATCGGCTGTGACCCCCTTCCTCTTGTGGTCGGGATGGGGTCTCTTGCCCAGCCCCGTCCAATGTTCACCTCGCTCATGTTGTCTCTTGAGACATTGCTTCGCAAGACGTCGCAAGTGGCCGCCTGAGGTCAATGCGTGACAGAAATCTTGGGGGGGAGGGAGGGAGGGGGGAGGGAGGGACAGAGGGACCTAGGAGGGGGGTTACTGTTAGAATACTACAGCGCGGCGCAAGCAGGCGCCACGCCTGCGTTCGCCGAGGGCTAGCGCGAGAGGTGGACTAGAGGCATGTGCCCTTACCCTCCGCCCGCCAGATCGAGGGTGGGGGCGGCTCAGAGGGGGGGGGGGAGCGTCAAGCCGAAGCCGCGCGCTCCTGGGCGGATGAGTCCTCGGGCCCCTATCGGCGATGAATGGGCGAACGGGGGGGACCGAGCGGCTCGAACAGATCGCGGCCAGAGTTCGTCTGATGCTTGGGCCTCTGGGGGCAGAAGCGGGCAGCACCGAATCGAGAAGTCAGATCGGATCGGGACGTCCGTCGAATCGGGTCGCATCGGCACGGAGTCGGCATCGAAGCGGGCCGGCCGCGCCAGGCTGCACCGAATGCGGCGGCAGCGCCGGCGAAGGGTCGGCGAATGCCAGCGGGCTTCCTGCGGCACCTTCCGGCGGCGCCGCCTCGAAACGGAGCGTGCGCTCTGCAGGCCCGGCGCTCAGCTCCCAGGGCGACTCCGAGGGAGAGGTGCGCCGCAGAGAAAGGTCGGCGGAAGCAAGGAGTGGTGGGGCCGCGGGCTGCGCACGGGCAGCCCCCCCAGGCATCGTCCTTGCTGGCCGGGACAGGCCCCCCGAGAAGTCCCAGCTGGCCCCAACAGGACCCCGAGCAGCCAGGGGGCGGTCTCGCAACGCCTCCGCCCTTGGGCGCGGAGGGGCCCAGGGGCGCCACCAGAGGCGGCGTCGGTGTGCTGAGGCCGCCGCAGGCTACTGTGGGGGCCTGCGGAGGCGCCAGCTGTAGGCATCGGGAGCGGCAAAGAGAGGGGCGTCAAAGAGGGGGGGTGCAGATCATGACCGGCGGCACGTGCGCGGCCCAGCGGGGGGGCCAGGGACGTAATGAAACAAGAAGAGGCGGCATGAAATCTGGGGAAATATCATGGCCCCCTCCATGATACCCACCCACCCCAGCAATCACCCCCCTCTTTTCCGCCCCCGAAGGTATACCCGGGGGGCCTGTTGATGCCAGCCGGGACTACCTGGGAGGCCGCTTGTGCGCAGTCCGAAGCCTTGCCAATAATAAGAGTGCGACGTCAACACTACTGGAGCCAAGGCTTCCAGAGTCAGGCCACTTCGCTGCGGGGTCCAAGCCACGAGATCCGGCGTCGCAATCACTTCCAAGACTGCTCAAAGGTACGATTAGGTCGGGCCTGTCCCCCTACAGGGGGATTTTGTACGAAAAATAAAAAATACTCAAAAATACTCAAAAGGATGCCCAAGAATACAAAAAACAACCAAACAATGTTTTGACTATTTTTGAATACTCCTCCTGTAGAGGGACAGGCCCGACTCAAAGGTAGGATCACAGCTGGGGCCCTCGGCCCCACGTTTCTGCGGCATCCCTCGAGCCCGATCGGCCCGTGCAAGCCCCAGGGGTCCGTAGCCGGGCGAAGGCAGCTGGAGTGACACGAACTCAGTGCCAAGGACGCGCCAACACGGGGCAGGGCCGCACTCGGAGGAAGGGGGGGGGGGGAGTCGGAGAAGGAGCCTGACGAGGAGGAGCCAGATGACACTGAGGAGGAGGAGGAGGAGGAGGAGGAGGAGGAGGAGGAGAGGAGGAGGAGGAAGAGGAGAGGGAGGAGGAGGAGGAGGAAGGAGGAGGAGGAGGAGGAGGAGGGAGGGGGAGGAGGAAGAGGAGGAGGAGGGGGAGGAACCAGGATGCATAGCCAAGGTCAGCGGAGGGGAGATCACAGGCCCAGACCAGCCAGAGAGCATCGGCTGACCCCCGGTTGCGCGGGGCCAGCAGAGCCTACTGCAGGTAGGCTTGGGAAGGTTGCCCATCCTTACTGTGCGGGTTGACTGTAGCTCGGGGCCCAGGCGGCCAGTGTAGGACAATTCTGCTCCCCTCGGGGCGCTCCCGACGAGGCGCAGCTGATAGCGAACGCGCATGCCACATTCATCGGTCGACGCCTCCCCCTCCCCCCAATGTTCAAAATTGGCGGTGGGTCTGATGAATTCCACTTGAACCGCAGTCTCCCCCGCGCGTGCCAACTTTGAGTCTGGGGGAGTGGGGGGGTGTCCACTATTTGTGTCCCCCTACCATGTCCAACATACGTCTGGCGCGCATGCGCTTGGCACGCGGTTTCATGCGCTCTCGGCGCCAGCAGGGCCACAGGTTTGGGGCATCCCGCACGCTCGTCGTCGAGTCCTCCGCGCGCAAGGAGTGCGTGTGCGGACGGGGGGGGTCTGTCGCGTGCAACTGGCACGCCTCTCCCTCGTCAAGGGCTCCGGGACCCCGACCCCAGTGACCCCCCCCTCCTCCTCCTCCTCATCCTCCTCCTCCTCCTCATCCTCATCCTCTGTCTGATGATCCTCCTCCTCCTCCTTTTCCTCCTCCTCCTCTTCGTCCTCCTCGGCATCCTCCCCGTCTTCCTTGTCGTTCTCCTCCTCTTCCTCCTCCTCCTTCACCTCCTCCTCCTCCTCCTCCTCCTCCTCCTCCTCGTCCTCCTCCCCCTCTCCTCCTCCTCCTCCTCCTCCTCCTCCTCCTCCTCCTCCCTCCTCCTCCTCCTCCTCCTCCTCCTCCTCCTCCTCCTCCTCCTCCTCCCCCTCCCCCTCCCCCTCCCCCTCCCCCCCCACCCCACAGACGCCTGGCCGCGCCCGCGGGGCTCCTCCGAGACGCGGCGGCGGCTGTGGCGCCGACGCCTCGTCGCACGGGAGGGGCAGGGAGGAGTGGGAGGAGGGGGAGGACGAGCGAGGAGCGAGGAGGAGAGGAGAGATGGGGAGGAGGGGGGAGGAGTGGGAGGGGGCCAAGGGGGGAGGGAGGGGGGAGGAGGAGGGGCGGGCGGCACGGCGAGAAGGGGGGACGGGCGGCAGCGCGGCGCCGCGACAAAGGGCCGCAGAGGGCCACATTCTCCCTTGCCGCGGCGGCCCCTGGCGGCTGCCCGCGGCAGGCAGCGGCTCCCTGGCGGCGGCCCACGGCCAGGCGGCCAGAGGCGGCCTGGCGCGGGCGTGCCCCCGAGAGCGCTTCTCGGAATGGCGGCGGCCCGGGTTCTCCTTCGGCAGCGTAGCCTAGGTGGTACACGGCCCAGCCCGGCAGCGTGCCCACGCAGAAGGAGGGTCTGGCCAGAGAGCTCCTCTCGGAATGGCGGCGGCCCGAATGCTCCTTTGGCGGCGTGGCCCGGCTGGTACACGGAAGGGTCGAGGCCACAGTTCTCGTACGACAATTGGTGGGACACGCGTTGGATTGCGGTGCTCAAAACGGTGGTGCACACTCTAGCTGCAAGGCCCGCAGGTGCAGTATGGCTTGTCATCAGCATTGTCAGAAGCAGCATGGTGACGAGGCCTGGTCGAACGAAGTTGCCCAGCAGCGGGAGGATATTGAGACTTGGATGTATGATTGTATGATGTGTGCAACCGGGTCTACGGAGAAACACCCGATATACAGGCCCCCAATTGGAAGTTCATCTATCGACGGCCACAAAACGCGCTGGCCGATGTCGTGTTCAATGGGGAGCAGGCGATGACCAGCACAATGGCCCAGGAGATCGAGATGGCGGTGCTCAGGTTCATGCCCTGGCAAGCCAACCGAGAACAAGAAACTCGACGGGCCACCACTCGCCATGAAACTTTACAGAAGCCGATGGCACCTGGAAGGCCGACTTCGAAGAGCCACCGAGGGCCGCTCAGAACCCCCCACCGACCAGCGAAGAGGACGGTGACGATCGAAAGAAGGGGTTGGCGTCAAACACTGAGGCTGCACCTCCACCGAGCCACCGCCGCCCCCGCCTCCCTGCGACCAAGCCCCCACGATGCGAGACAGTGTGCAAAGCTTGTGCCAGCTCGGTGTGCGGCCCGCTCCATCCTCATCTCGCTCTGAGCCCCGCCGATCGACGCCCATCGCTGACGGCCGTCACGCCAGGTGTGCGGCCTCTGTAGACGCAGGCAGAGGAAGCACACCTAGTGGCGACAGTGAGGGGAATCCGCCGATTGGGCAGGCAACATCAGCTTCAAGGCTGTGCACGAGATGCAGCTCGTCTGGAAGAGTCATCGACTCCAACGTCTACGCCGTTTTTGAGTTCGCGAAGTCAGGAAGAGCAGCGACGTCAATTGGACGCGGTAGTGAAGAAGCTGGCTACATTGCAGGAGGTTGTGGAGAGAACGACCGAACAGAGAAACAGGATGTATAACGAACGGATCGAAGCGGGTAAGCAAGGGGATGCAGGTACGGAGTGGGCCACTGGACAGACAACGGCAAGCAGAAACGCAGCATCACAACAATCTAGCATGCAGCCAACAGCATCGGCTTCACGAGCTTCCATTGGCGCGCGCAAAAGGAAAAGCAGATAAGCAGGTCCAAGAATCCCCAACAGACATGAAGCTGGAGATCGAAGCGGTCATGGAAATCCTGGCGATGCAGCAAGGGACTAATCTACGACTCAAGGCAGTTCACCACAATCAGAAGCAGTCAGAAGAGGAGCAGGTGGAGTTCAAGAAGAAGGTATCACATGAGGATGCGATGGCAGAACTTGAGCCTAAACGTAGACAGCTTGACGAACAAGATGTTCAAACACATGGGGCAACTTATGGCAGTGAAATCTCAGACGGATGCCCAAGAGTTCGGAGCAATAGCAATGGCGGAGCAACTCCGTATGGCGACCCCGACGGCACGGAGGTGGCTCCGCCGCATACAACGGGGACTCGGGAGCGCCGACTACACTCTGCCATCTTCGCGTCAGCGGAGGAAAAGGTTGCTGCAGCAAGGAGAACACGATGCCGAAGCACAACATGAACACTGAGATCGACCAGGGCCATAGTCCATGCCAGATTCGCCAGCTGAGAAATCACATGACGATCAACGAGCAGACCTGTGGCTCACCGATGAGCAGCAGGCAGAGATGGCCGATCTTGACACATTGCAAGGGATTCGGACTCAGACTTGCAGCACGCTCTCGGGGAGGCCTTCCATGGACTGGCTTCTGAACGAGAGCGGATTCAGAGAGCGCAGGACCCAGTTGGAATTTTGAAAGCCAACCTGGTCAACAGCACGGTTGCAACACCACCTCCACATTACGGCAGAGGCAAGGATGACCACAGCGATGCACTATGCCAAGCATTCGGCAAGATGGAAATTGCTCAGGGGTGTTGCATGGCACGTGGCTCCCCACACGTTGGAACGGAGGTTGCCCAGCAGGAGGAATCACCAGCCATCGGCAGCGGCGTTGAAGTGCCAGCGCCAGCAGAGACCGACGGTGGAGCTCAAGGAGATTGCTGTAGTTTTGTGGGGCCAGATACGGCGTCCAAGCAGACTCTTGAGAGAATCGATGGCCCAATGATTGAGACCGAAAAGAGCCCAAGCAAGCCAGAGGAGCCAGAACAAAAGGTCGCAGCCACCAAGGACGCCCTGGAATACGACTACCAGAAAGCGACCTTGGACGACTAGAGGAAACAAGACATGCTGAACGAGGCCACGCGGCGGGAAGCCACTGCCGAACCCCAAGATATCGAGAAGGACAAACAGGACGACCGCGAATACCAGAGGTTATTTCCACAAGAGGCAGATTCGTTCTGCCTTGTGCAGCGATGGCGACTTCGTCAGCCCGTGGAAAGAGAGCTGGCTAATGGAGAGGGTTCCGAAAGGAACGCGTATGTTGGGCAAGCTGGCGGAAACGGAGAAGTACCTGAGAAAGGAGCTGCATAGGCCACGGAGGACACCGACCGAAGTTTGAAATCCAAGCTTCCAGCGGCCAAACCAGCACGACAATGTCAAGACCCACAGTTTTGTCAGAGCTGAGTGCGACGCGCGTCTCTGGTACCTGAGGAGAACGACCGACCGATGCAGCAGGCTGGGAAGATCATGTTCGACGATCGGCACTGGCGAGCAATGCGAGTCATGACGCGCCCAAAGTACCAATACCACATCGCCCCTGGGGGGGCAATCGAGCCGCGCCGACCTAGAGTGACTGGGGTGGGTGGAGGCTGTCCTTACCTCAGTCCTGGTAGCGTACCCTCACTTGCACATCGCGCATATCGGGCTGCGGCGGCCGCGGATATTTTCTCGGCCGCCTTGTCTCCAGTGAAATACTTATGTTAAGGTCGCGCGGCTTGCACTGTACCTGCATCTCCTCCCGTGTCGGCATTCAGGGACCAGGGGGCGAGGCTATCAGGGATCAGGGTGTTCCAACTATCGCATGGAAGATGCCCGAGCCGCTGTCGAAGCATTGTCGTAACAGGCCGTGGCAAGTGAGACTTCGACGTGGCCTTGCTGGACTGGCGCTTCACGAGCGCGCCACGCTGGCCCTCCACTTTGCGAGACCACGCGTGTCTCCTGCTTACACGATCGTCTGCGACGGCTCCTCCTGGGAACGCGACTCACAAAATGCGCGGGCATGCGCGGTCATCCCAGTCACCAGGGAGACGAACAAGCTGGGGGGCCGTTCCAGCCCAGATGCACAGAGCTGCGCAGGCTCCATCGTGGAGACCTCGGACTCGAGTAATGTGACCACGGCGGCTGCAAGCTTACTGTGAACAAATGTCGACTCCCTGCATGTACAAACCCACCTGCCACTTGAAATTAGGTGCGACTGCCCCCCCGCCCTGACGACGACCGTGTCAGGCTCTTCGCAGCTAGGCGACTTGGCCGATGGTGCGCAAGTATTATCAAACGTTCCTCGCGACCGGCCTCCCCGCCTCACTCGCGCTGGCGGACGTAGGGGCAGCCTGTGGAACGAGCTGCGTTAGCGAAGAGCGCTCGCGCGTCTCCTCCCTGTCCACTGGCCGAGCGCATCATCCACGTAGGGCCTTTGTTGTTCTTATTAAGCGCTGGGGGCGATTCATTTTTCGATTTCAACTTTTCGTGGCGGTTGACCAAAAGAGACAAAACAGTGTAACCCGAAACAAATCAAAAAAGACACTAGCCGAGCAGAAAACGAGAGAAATATGGTAACCCTAAACACATAAGAAACAGAAAACAGTTGTCAGAAACAGAAAGCGGCAACAAAAACACCAGACAACAACGATAAAATAACGAATCGCAAAACGAACCGAAAACGGCGAGACGGCAATCCCAAAACGGAGAAAAACGGCCAACAAAACACAACACAAAGGTGATCAGAACACGAAAAAACGCCCCGAGCGTTGTGTGTGTTTTTGTATTAAAAAAGAACATCTAAGGGCGCAGATTTGTCCGTTCTGCCTGACGAGACGAACCCAGACAAGCACTCCTATCCAAGAGCCGGCCAAGCAGGACCCGATGCACATGCCACGAGACAGTGGCACCATCAGATGCCCAGACCATCGCCAGAGACGGCTTCCAGACGTATGTGATGACCATCAAGGTGGCCACGGGCGCCATGCCGACCGCAGCCTTATCAGGGCACAACTTCGGGCTGCAGGAGCTCATCCAGCAGTGCCAGGACGCTCTGCCCTCTTTAACCCCAACTGTTCTCGACGGATTCTCGGCGGCTGGGGCTCTCGGCAGAAGCTCGGATGCAGCAGATTGCGCAATACCCACCGGTCAGAAGCAGTAGGTACAAGCATGAAATAGGAAGGCGTTGAAAGTAGATTGGGTTCCGTCCGCCCCCTAAGGAGGACGGAACATGTGAAGGCGCTTATAGTATAGTGAAATCTGGGACTCCAGAAATACCTACTTTCGATGACAGGTGAGCGGTCTCGGCCCATGGGCAGGGGCCAGCAGGACCGCGCGGTTTTCGCAAGGAAGACTTGAAGAGTTTTGCACGCTGGCCCTCGGCCCCTGCTTTGCACGGTCCGACTGCTTGATGACGCGGAACCCGCCTGCGCAAATCATGCCGCGAATGCAAGGCGCGCGCGTTTGGACGACGAAGACAGGCGGGGGCCCGAAATCATCCTGGCTCAAGTGGCCACCATCGATCATCTCGGGGAGGTCCTTGGTCCGACTTGGAACCCCCCCGCCCCTCCCTGTCCTTTCATTCGCTCCGAGGATTGAGGGGCGGAGGAGGAAGCGGAGGAGGAGGAGGAGCAGGAGGAGGAGGAGCAGGAGGATACGGAGGAGGGGGAGGGTATGAGGAGGATATGGGGAAGAGGAGGAGGAGACGACCGTAGGGGAGGGAAGAGGAGCAGGAGGAGGAGGGGGAGGAGGAGGAAGAGCAGGAGGAGGAGGAGGAAGAGGAGCAGGAGGAGCAGAGCAGGTCGCGCAGCAGATGGTTCAGGACTTACTGGCAGTGGACAATTCCACCCCGAGTACTGCACACCAGCTACGGACGACCTACGACCTACCAGGACATCAACACATCCGAATTCAAAAAAAACACGAGTGGCTCATGGAGCCAACACTGCGTACGTGCGCCAAACACTGCAGGGGCGAATCGCCGCTACGACGCGATCATCACTAATGGTCGCCTCCATGGGTGCTGTATAGGAGCATCAGCAGAGTGTCACTTGGACACATGCACGGGCGCCGACGACCACGTGCGAACCGATGCTGTTGATGCTAGGACGTGGTTGACCAAGCCGAGCAATGATGAAACGTGTACGAAGCGGGAATTAACCAGGGCAACGGTCCACCCGGCGTTTGAAGGTATGTACATGTATGAACCGTGGCAGGCTGCGGAGTATGGTTCTGGCGTCCTGGGGCCAACCCTTGCATCATGGAGACGGTCTCTGCGACAGTCCGCGCTGACGGAGTTCGAAAGAAGTCGAGGTCGACAAGAAGCAGGGAATATTGAAGGTCAACAGTTAGTGCTTACGCAACAGGCAGCATCCGTGGGGTGTCCCTGGAGTACCGCTTTCAGCAGCACGTGAGTGACTGGCCCTGGGGCCCACATTTGCGGTCGAGGTTCCGGCCCTCGGCCCCCGGGCCCGTTGCGCCGTCATATGGATATACGTATATAGAGATATAGCGCCATGCGTTGTTACGCCATCCAGAGAGTGAAAGCTGGTGCCTGCCACCAAGAGTGCCACTGTGTCTGTCTGCATGATGATGCATTTACAGACATATATGAATAGATTCATGTGTAAGTGCCAATGTAGGTGCAAATGCACGTCTGGTCTATGCTGTCGGACGTAGGATGTGCGTGTGCATGTGTGAATGCTGTTGTCGGCAAGTAGAAGCACGTAGACATGCATGTGCATGAATATCAGGGTGCGGATGTGGATGAACACGCAAATTCATATGTCCATGCGTGTGCGACAAGTGGGCGTATGCGCAGTTGCAGTTGCGCGTGCACATTAAGTGCCCGCCACTGTGCCTGCACGGAGTGGGCGTGCTGGAACCTGGGCCGGGCACGGGAAGGGACAGAGCGGGAACGTGGAGCGGATATTTCACACGGTCTCGGTGGTTCGGCGGCCGTTTACGCGGCAGCGATTTGGACACAAGGATTGCCATGCATGCTTGTTGGAGCAAACTGGAGCGCGAGTCACGGTAGGACGGCCGGCGTGGTGATCGGAGTTGTTATGTCAGCGTCCGCTCCGAGGAGCCTTGGCGGTCAGAGTGTTTGACGGCACGGTTCGCTCTGGTGGGGCCTCGTAAGAGGCTCTTGGAGGTATCTCGGAGTGCCTCTTGGAGGCCTATCGGGGGTCTTTTGGGCCGTCTGGGGGCCTTCTGGGGCCCTCTTAGACCGTCTTGGGTGGCTTGGGCAGGCTTGGGGCACTCTCGGGGCACTCTTGTGAGCCTCCTGTGGGGCTCTCCTGGGAGGCTCTTGGGGATCTGTGGGGCCCTCCTTGGCTCGTGTTGGGGCTCTCCTGGGCCGTCTTGAAGCTCTCGTGGACCGTTTGGGACCTTCTGAGGACGTTTTGGGACGACCTCGGAGGCCCCCAGGGCCGTGTTTGGCCGTTGTTGACCCGAGACGAGAATCCCAAAATCCTCAAAAAACCTTGGGGACATCAATGGTTTTTGCCTCCGGTGTTCCTTTTGGAAGTCCTCGTGGGAACCTCTTGGGCCGTCTGGGGGGCTTCTTGGACCGTATTGGGGCCATCTTCGCCCCTTTTGGAGAGCTCTTTGGCTGTCTTGGGGCCTCTTGGGCGTCTCTTGGGCGGTCTTGGAGGCATCTTAAGCCGTTTTAGAGGTCTCTTGGGGGTCTCTTGGCCCGTCCTGGGCTGAAAAAGCAACCAACCTGGCCCCAGGAAGGCGTGTTGGAAAATTCTCCTCCGCCACGCACCCCCCCCCCCCCCCAGACCCCTCGTTGGGGCTAAAGTCCTATACAGAACTTCTCTCGCTAGCGCTCTTTCTGTCGTGCTCCCCTGTCATCTGGTGGGTTTGTCTAAGTGTCTCCCAAGGCCGACCCCATCTGGACGACCATCCCACCGCTAGAAACGCCCCCCCCCTCCGCAGAGCATTTTAGGGCAATATCCCGTACTACGATACACACAAACCAGTACGGTGCCGAAAATAGGAGTGTTCAAACAGGCCCCCCGAGGGGATCAAAACAGCACCCTCCCCGAAGGAGCGCCCAAGAGGCCTCCAAGGGGCACCCCAAGATACCCCAAGAGGCTCTGAAGACCCCAAAGAAGCCCCCAAGACACTCGAGGGAGTCTCCATGAGGCCGCCAAGGCGACCCAACGGACGTAAGAGCCGCCAGGAGGCCCCCCAAGACGCCCAAGGAGGTCTCCGAAGCGACTCCGAGGGGCATCCAAGAAGCCTAGGGCCCACGGAGGCTCCCCAAGCTCTCTAAATGCTGACACGCTCCCCCAGAAGGCCAGCTCCCCTGGGCATCGTTCCTGGATGGGCTGGTGGAAATGCGCGAAGCGTAAAGGAATCCGAAGATCCACCAGCTACGTTGTTGCAGAGGCACTGTGGCGGGGCTTGCAGCAGGCGGCTGGATGCATCATTCAGACACTGCGTCTTGCGCTTAGGGAATCTCACCCATATTCTGAAGAACTATGCACCGAAAGCCGCTGATCTTTGACCGGCATTGCGTCGATTTGCGATGCGCTGAATTGCACTACATGGCTTGCACTAATTCGCTGCGTGGGTTTTTTTCTATCCCGAGGGGGGGCTTCAGAGACAGGAACGCGAAAGAGTCTAAAGAGCCAAAGGCCTAGAACGCGCCCAGAGCTGTGGAGCAAAAGGCCTAGAACGCGCCCAGAACAAAAGGAGCGGGTGGAGCTGGGCCATCGGACCTCAGTCCAAGCTCGCCACCGCGACAGAACTCGGAGCCGAACTCGGCGCTACACGCGTCGTTCCGAAAAGACGCGAAAGGGATATTGCCTGTTTGCCGCACTTTGCCTCGGGCGTCGAAACCTCGGTGTGATCATCTTCTCCCAGCAGACCTCCGACGGCAAAGCCAGCCTTCCCGAGGTGCTTGGCGTAGAAGTTCAGGTACGGGATGCCCCTCTCCGTGCGCCCGTGGGCGACTTTGAGCTCCATCGGGCCGAACTTCGCCCACCCGGCGCCTGCCTCGTGCGCCGTCTTGGCATCGAAGGTGAGGCCGCCGGCGTGCGCCTCGTCCGCCCACGCCCCTGTGATGTTCAGCCTCTGGATATACATGTCCGCGCACTGCTCACCCATTTGGCGCACGTCGGCCTGCACGACGAGCAGCGCGTAATCCACAGGTTTTCCACGTGGGATATTGATGAGCAAGATCTGGCCCTGCCGCATCAGGTCAAATCGCTCACCGTAGACGTTCGTCAAATGAGGATCGCCAGACGCGGAAACTTGCGGGGGCGCTGTCGGAATCGGCGTGGGGCTGGTGTCAGTCGGCGAGGGCGTCGGGCTGGGCGTCTGGGGCGAGGTCGGGCTGCTTGTCGGGCTGTTCGTCGGACTGGGCGTCGGGGACGAGGTCGGGCTCGTCGGGGCCGGCGTGGGGGAAGCCGTGGGAGGCTCGGAGATCAAGTATTCGATAGCAGCTCCTTTAATAGTTGTACTTGGTGAGACTGCCAAATCTCTCCAGGTAATGCCATCAATGCTTGCCTCAAGCTTGAATGACACTGTGCCCCAGTCTGCTGTGGTCATCTTCATCCCACCTACGGCCGTAGCGGTCACAAACTCGAAGTACCAAGCTGTTCCAATGGTGTAGAAAGAATGATAAGTCCCTGCCGAACCCGACATGGCCCAACTCCCGTCCATGATGTTGGAAAGCGAGCAGTCTGGGGACCTGCACTCAAACCCGTTACATTCAGAACACTGACCAATGGATGGCCCCATCCCCGAGAATATGGCGGCGTTCAATGACACTTGGGCAAGGAAGCCTCCATCGGAGTAAAATGCGATCTCATTGATGACGCACTCCACTGAACCCGCCGGTCCTGATGTAGCAGTCATTCTGATCCACCGTGCAGTTGGGGCCGTCGCTGTGGCCTGGAGCTTCGCGAACACCCTCTCAAGGGCGCCGGTCTCGTCCGGCACGTCGGCCCCCGCCAAGTCGTGTTGGAGAGCGAGAGCGTGTGTCGAGGGCGTGAATGCCATCACCTGGAAGATAGTCCACGCTGACTTCCAAGCAGCCCCCATCCTACCAAATTGAGCTGGCCAAAAGAAGTAGACAACCAAGTGGCAACAAATGGGGAACCAACGATGCAGTATGCAAGTAGTGTGTGGAGGCCCTAGGAGGGCGATCAATGGCCGATCCCTTGAGCCAAATGGCTACGGATAATTCGCTGCGTGGGTTCAGGCTGGAATCGTTTCGAAGGTGATGAGATGCTGTAAGCGTAGACGCACTAGCAGATTCTAGTTAGGATGAGGATGCACGGGGATACGTAGACGAAGACGCAGACGCTGACATCTATTCAGGGGCACGTGCGTAGCGAAGGAAGGAATTAATAACGCAACAGAAAAAAGGCGGTGACAAAAACAGCGTAAACTGCTGGCTGCATTTTGCAGCCACAGTGGGTAAAGGCAAGATGCTGAATGATGAATATAGATGTGAAAGGTGGGTGGGAGTGTGGTTGTAGTCGTACACGTGGATGTTCTATGGACCTTGTGTTGCGCTCTGCACACAGGCAGGCACAAGTGCAGACACAGACGCAGACGAATACGCAAATGCAAATGGGAAATACGAGGAGACGTGTATATTATACAGGTGCAGCTGTGAGGTGCAAGACGTGGGCATAGGCAGCATGGCCTGGCACGGAACAGCGTCTCGACACGGCACGGCGCGCGCCCCAGAGATTCGCAAAGTAACGACGCGGCACGGCACCGCACGCGCGCCACGGATTCGCAAATTCAAGCAGTGGCACGGCGGGGTGCCGCACGGTACACGGCACACATCTCACACCATACGGAACACAACGCCCTGCATAGCACCTTTTTCGCGCCGTCACGGCACAGCACCGCACACGGCACCACACTGCACACGGCACACAACACACGACATAGCAAAGCGTCCGTGCCGTCACGGCATGGAACAACCCGGGTGACGTGCAGCGGGTGACGTCCACGTGCGCTCGCTGTGCCAGTAATGCAGCCACTGCCAACACCGACGCTCTGCCAACGTGTCGAACACTGCACGGCAACGCGTTCACGGCACGGCATACCCAAGCGTCTGTCCCGTGCTGTGCCGTGCCGTGCACTGCTCGGCACAGCTCGATGGCAAGGCACAATAACGAAACAACATGCGCCCGAACTCACCCGCGACTTGGCGGCACGGATCGGGACGCGGCATACGGCACCATGCGCCCCCCAATTCCCGACCGCGTCTCGCGGCCAAGGGGGGCGCCTCGAGACCCAACGGTTCCAATCTTGAGCGCGCCACGGGTAACTGACCGTTTCTCGCGGCTGGGGGGCGCCTCGGGAAACCACGGTTTCGACCTTGAGCGCCTTCTGGGCCCCGCCCCGCTTGACCGCTTCTCGCGGCTGGGGGGGGGCGCCTCAGGACACAACGGGGGGATACCCGAGGAGACAAAAGATAGAGAGAGAGAGAGAGGCAAACACTGGAGACTCGAGCGGAAACCAAGAGAACCAACCAACCTCCTCGCTCCTCGCTCTGTGGTCCTCTACAACGCCATCCGGGCACCCCCCCTTGACCACGTCTCGCGGCCTGGGGGGGCACCTTGGGGCACTGCGGCTTCGAGCTTGAACCCCCCCCAGGACCCAACCTTGACCGCGTCTCGCGGCGGGGGGGGGGCGCCTCGGGACACCAAGGCTTCAATCTTGAGCGCCCCCAGGCCTCCCCCCCTTGACCGCGGGCGAAATGGCCCGTGGACGACGGGGCGGGCTACGAATGGCCCGCCCCGTTGCCGGGCGACGGGCCATGAAAATTGCTCGCCGGCCAAAACCAAGTTCCTCGGTCCTCGTCCCCCCAAGCCAGCGCGACGCTGAGCGCCCGCGAAGGCGAAGCAGACCCGACTGGACTGCAGGGTGGGGTGCTGTCCGCTCGCGGCTAAGACTGCCACCGTGCCTTGGTTGTGAGTCAGAGGCTTCTTGGGTTTCCTGGCATGATTCTCGGGCGCCACTGGGAGCCAGTCTTGGAGCCTCTGAGGGCCTCTTGGGGCCTCTTGAAGGCTGTTTGGGGGCCTCTTGAAGCCTCTTTCGGGCCTCGTGGGGGCCTCTTGGGAGACTGCTGGCGGTCTGGGAGGTCAATTTGGGCCGGAGTGCTCGACAAGTGAGCTGGAGTGCCCTTTCTTTGGCCCCTCGTGGGGCCATCTTGGGCCGTCCTGGGCGCCTCTTCGACAGTAAAGAGCTCTCTTGGGCCGTCTTGGAGCTCTCTTGGGGGCATTTTGAGCTGTCTTAGGGCGATCTTCGTGGCCTCTTGAGCCGTCCTGGGCGCTGTGATGACCTGGCAACCAAATGTGCTGAATATATAAACTTTCGCATGGGAATGGGGTGGTTTGGGCTCTCTTGGGGAGCATCTTGGAGCCTCCCTGGGGCGTCTTGGAGGCCTCTTGGAATCCCTTCGGCCATCTTGAAACCATCTCGGGGCGTCTTGGGCCGTATTGCGCCGCTTTCGTCGCCAATTCGTGTCCCCATGGAAAGTGTTTGGGCGGCCGGGGTGGCTGGGGGGAGGCCCAGGAGGCTCTGGACGGGGGGGAAGGGGGGGGGAGCAAAAGGGAGAACAAAAAAGAAGCGGAAACCCGGGAGGGTGTGACGGCCATGGACCCAGGCTCCAACACTCTGGAATTTGGGAGTCCGTTCGGGCCTTCTCCGCTGCCTCTGGGACTGTCTTGGGACCGTCTTGGCGCCCTCTGGGGAGTCTCTTGGGCCGTGTTGGGGCGATCGTTTTGGCCCGAGGCGAGGCTCATTTGCCTCCGCGTGGGGCGTCCCTCGACCATGTCTCACAAGGGCTGAAGAAAATGGCGACAGTTGCGAGGTTGCCAGCGCTCAGGGATGACGAGGTCTCGTTTGGGTCCCCGTGGGGTTTCGCTCCGCTGGACCTCCCAGCAGCTGACAAAAGAGGCGACAGTTGCGCAGTGGGCAGAGCCCAGGCAGGCAGGTGTCCCACTAAGGTCCTGCTAAGACGTCGCTCCGATGGAGCTCCGAGTAGCTCACGAAAGTGGCGCCTGTTGCGCAGTTGGCAGCACCCAGGCAGGGCGGGGTCCCACTTGGGGCTCCGTAGGACGTCACAGCGCTCGGCCTCGCTCACGCAAGTGGCGATCAGCTGCGCAGGTGGCAGCACCCAGGCAGGGCAGTCGCGCAGTTGGCAGCCCCCAGGGAGGGCGATGTCCCTTTTCTCGGCTCGCGTGGGACGTCACTCGGCTAGACCTCCCAGGAGCTTACAAAAGTGACGACATCTGCGGACCTGGCAAGGTCCCATTTGGGTCCCCAAGGGACGTCACTCCGCTGGGCCTCCCAGGACCTTGCGGAAGTGGTGGACATGTAGGTTGTTACAAGTGTTCGTGGCCTCGGAAGCGCGGATCCATGGTTCGTTTGGAAACGTGGCATCAGTAGCGTTGTATCATTTATTTGTTTGGCTAGGGATCGTGGCTTCGGAAGCGCGGACCCATATTGCTTTACACATGATCGTGGCCACTGGAGCGCAGATGTGCTGTGAGACGAGGCGTCGTGGGCTCGGGGGCGCGGATACATAGTTCTGTGAAGAGGGATCGTGCCGTATGGGGGGCCGTATTTAGAACCATCGCGCGCTGCGCGCGCGCTCAAGTTCTAGCTAGCTTGAAGGATAGCGCGTAGCGAAGGATAGCGCGGTGCGGCTCTTGGGCCGTCTCGGGGCTCTCGTCGAGCCTCTTTTGGGCTTCTTGGGGGCCTCTTGGGGCCTCTTGGGGGCTTCCTAGGGGCCTCTTGGGGGCATCTTGGGGCGGAGAGCTCGATTGTTCAGTTCGAGTTCCCTCTCTTGGGCCCCTCTTGGGGCCTTCTTGGGACCCTCTTGCGCCATCTTGGGCGGCTCTGGGGCCGTCTCGGGGCTCTCTTGGGCCGTCTTGGGGCCCTCTTGAGGGCCTCTTGGGCCGTCTTGGAGCGGTTTTGGGAGCCTCATCCTCAAGAGCGGTGCTTTAGCGCCGGAAACACGAAACAGCGATAATGCAAAACAAAAAACAATAAAAAACATGATAACCAACGAGTTTGCCCTCTCGGGGCGCTCTTGGGCGGCATCTTAAAGGCCTCTTGGGGCGTCTTGGGGGCCTCTGGGGCACAATTTAAAGCGCATCGTGCGTCGCCAGAGACCCCTGGACGGCGTCTTGGGGGTGTCTCGAGACCGTGTGGGGCCGCCGGGATTGCTGTCTGAGGGCTCCCCAGGGCGATTTTAAGCTCCCCAAAGGCGGGCCCTGGCCCTGGGGCCCACATTTGCGGTCGAGGTTCCGGCCCTCGGCCCCCGGGCCCCGTGCGCCGTCATATGTATATGCTGATGATAGTTGCCCATGAGCTAGGCGTTTCAGTCCTTCTCCTCCCCCCCCCCACACCAATGGTTGCATTCATACTGTAAATGGGTTATGGGCTCAAACTGGTGCCCGCAATGGCTCAACTCCGACGAACGGACGCACCAGGATCACGTGTAGGCAACGCTTCTCCGCTTATCTTTTCGTTGATTGCATTGTTGTGTTGACGTTGCTTCTCCCAATCCCTATATGTGCATTCCCGCCTTGTCCGCAGCGCTGGGCGTCCAATGCAGCCTCTATGGCAGCCAAGGCCATTGTGGCCGCGACGCCACTGATCTTTCAAAAATTATCCCTCCCTCCACGTTGGCCCCTGGCAACGGGCTCGTACCCGACACCGTGACCATCGCGGAGCAGCGATCAAACGGAGGGGGTAGCTCCAGCGTGCACCGCGGTGTTCTCTGCTCTCCCGAGCTGCTCCATCATCCGAGCGAGGCTCCCGGATGGTCTTCTCCCATTCCGGACTCCTGACCGTCGTCCACCATGCCACCCCCTGTGTTTCTCGAGCTCCGCGTGTCTGCTGAGTTGGATCGCGCGCTTAGGTAATTAGGCTTGGCTCGTATCGCGGGCTGACTTCGGACGCCGCCTGCGCTTCCGCTCGCGGCCGCGACGGAACAAAAAGTCTGTTGAGTTTCCGCCCCTCGGGTCATCGCACCGGACTCTCCACGAGGCGGCCGTCGGGTCCCGCAGCCTCTGGCCATCGCTCGGACGTCCATTCCCTGTGTTTTTTTTGGTTCGTGCGTGCTTTGCTCGCCAAATGATCAAGGATGCTCCTCGATGGTCCTCGCCGAGGGAAAAACGCACACGTCCGAGCGATGCCAAGGCCTGGCGAGGCCTGCTGCTGGCAGGGCAGCCCTGGGCAGCTGCTCCTCATCCTGGCCGCCGCCTCGGATGCGTCGTCTGGTGCTCGGGCGGGCGACTTTTGTCAGGGGGTGGACGCGGTGTTCAACTTCCAGTTTCCTGGCAGCTGCTCGTCATCCTGGTCGTCGCCTCGTATGCGTCGTTTGGTGCTGGGGCGGGCGACTTTTGCCAAGGACGGACACGGTGTTCAACTTCCAGTTTCCGGGCCGCGTCTCCACTGGAGGCCCGCGCGGGGCACAGCGAATGCAAGAGGGGGCGCAGACAGGACGGCAGACAGGCAGGACAAGATAGGGCGACGAACGGGGCAGACCGCATTCTGCCGAGACCGCCCCCACGGGCACAGCACACGATGCCCAGACTGAACTCGGAGCGGCCGACACGATATCTCCAGCGGGCGACGATCTGGGAAGAGGCGCCGACCGCGGGGGCCTCCTCCTCCTCCTCCTCCTCGACCCTGTTGCGGCCATGCTCAGAGCTTCAGCGCGGGAGCGGGGCGCTAACACCCGGGAGGTGCCCTCCCCGCAGGCGCCTCCGGAGGCGGGCGGCCTCGAGAGGCTCCAGGATCGGGGCAGGGGCGAGGCAGGGGACGAGCAGGCAGAGGGGAGCCAGGACATCAGGAGGCCTCAGGAGCTGAGAACTCTGCAGGGGCCCTGGGAAACACACACACACACAAATACATGGACACAAATCACAGGAGTCCCCATATGTCCCCCTATGTTCTGGGTGTTTGTCTCCCCCCCCACTTCCCATAGTTTCGTTTTCTGGGGAATCGAAGATGAATTGTGTGTGTGTGTATGTTTTCCCCTCCTAAAACTCACCTGCGCCCGCAGGCCACGCCAAAGGTCGGATACAGGAGCAGGAACACGATTTGGCGGGCGGCCTTGCGATCCTCCGCGAAGCACCTGAAGGGGGTAGAACACTCGATACGCACATGGTGGCGTCGTCGAAAGGACCCTCCGCGAGGCCGACCAGCGTGTGGCCGATGATGTTCCGAAGCTCCGTGTCGTACGCGTGGAGGCGGGTGCCAGCTCTGACCCCTCCCCGCGAGTTAGCTCTCCTCCTGGCGACTTCGAGCCCGAACGCGACAACGGGACTTGCGTTCTCACGCCGCGACCCGCGAGGGCAACGGCACATCCGACATGCGGCGACGTCGAGCCCGAACACGACAACTGGACGTGCGATCTAACGCCGCCGCAGCCCGCGAGGGCAACGGTCAACCCGACGTGTGGCGACGGTGAGCCCGAACACGACAGCGGGACTTGCGTTCAAACGCCGCAACCCGCAAGGGCAACGGCATAACCAGCATGTGGCGACGTCGAGCCCGAATGCGACAACGGGACTTGCGATCTAACGCCACCGCTACCCGCAAGGGAAACGGGATGCCCAGCACAGCAGGAAGTCGTTTCAACGGGCTGGAGAGATCTGGATGGACTGGAGGGCACCTGGACACCAGCCAGGAGCGCATCGAGTACAATCTGAGACCAATCACCATCATACCAATCAATCAGTAACAGGCCCAACACGCTCAGGCGTCGCAACAGCAGTCGAGGGAGTCTGCGGACAGGCCTCGAGTGGCGTCGACGGGCACAGATCCACCATCACATAGTCATCCTCGTCCTCGTCCTCAGGAGCCAAGATCGGCGTCATACCAGGACTCGGGGGGGCAGATACACGGAGATCGTCCACGATACCATCATCCACATCATACGCAGGAGTAGCCACCAGCGGCGACAGGCCAGGGCTCAGGGAGACAGACACCACGTCATCAGAGGCCCCATCGCTGATTGAAAAAACCTCATCAGCATCATTGAGGACGGCGGGCATCATGTCAACTGAGGACGACGAGGAAGCGGACGAGGAGGACGTGGGCGAAGAGGAAGAGGAGGAGGAAGATGAGGAGGACAGCCGGTGCCGTCCGAGCCAGCCTCCCGCGACAGAACACCGCGTGTCTACATTGCCACTAAGGCCAGCCAGACGATTTTGGCCAGCCTGACACTTCGGCATGCTGTCACAGGTGCGGAGGGGGAGGTTCTCTGATTATTGGTGGTTCGGGGAGGAGACCGTCCTTGCCACACCCAGGCGCTGCAGCATACTCTTGTCTCTCTGTTGCTCTTAAGTGTCCTACACATCTTGTTTCTCGCCGTTGCGCGCTGCTGCAGTGTCAGGGCCTGTTCTGTAATAGACTTTTTTTTCACAAACACGGAACAGGCTCGCTCCTACTGTTGGTCTAGCGTGGACAAGTGGAGGAGGAAGAGGAGAAGAATGCAGTGTGAGCGACGACGGAAATCGCGTTAGGATAACAGTGATGTTTCCCCCCCTCCACGGCATGGCAAAACGCACGAAGACCTTGGCCATCTTCACAGCGAACACGGAATTCAAGAGCCCGACAAGGAGGAGGAGGATGAGGATGAGGATGAGGAGGAGAAGGAGGAGGAGGAGGAGGAGGAGGGGGATGCGGAGGATGATGAGGAGGAGGAGGAGGTGGAGGAGAAGGATGGGTGCGGAGGAACCGGCGGGTGGGACACGGTGATGGGGCGCGAGCGGGGCCGAAGCCAGGGTCGGCGGAGGGGCAGGCCAGGGCTGGGACAACATCGGACCAGGACAAAACGGGGATCTCTGAAATCGGGCAATTCTGGAAACTGTATCGGGCGCCGCAGGCGTTCCAGAGCGCTCCAGAAGGGTCTGAGAGTGTTCCGGAACGCTCTGGCACGATTTATCCCGATCCTGGCCTTGCCCGATGTCGGGTCTCATTTGTCAAGCTCTCAAGAAATTTTCTCTAGACCCGGAGTGCTCTCCAGCAGCCGCGCCTCGCCGAGAGAACGGAGCGGACGACGAGACTCTGCAGGTCTGGGGCCACGTCCTCCATCTTCCTCCTCCTCCAGCTTGTCCTCCGCGTCCTCCTCGTCCCCCTCCTCCCCGTCCTCCTCCTCCTCCTCCTCCTCCTCCTCCTCCTCCTCCTCCTGCTTCTCCTCCCTCCTGCTTCTCCTCCTCCCCACCCCCTCCTCCTCCTCCTCCTCCTCCTCCTCCTCCTCCTCCTCCTCCTCCTCCTCCTTCCCCCCTCTCCTCCTCCTCCTCCTCCTCCTCCTCCCCTCCTCCTCCTCCTCGTCCCCTCCTCCTCCGCCTCCTGCTCCTGCTCCTGCTCCTGCTCCTGCTCCTGCTCCTGCTCCTGCTGCGCCTGCTCCTGCTCCTGCTCCTGCTCCCTCCTCCTCCTCCTCCTCCTCCTCCTCCTCCTCCTCCTCCTCCTCCTCCTCCTCCTCCTCCTCCTCCTCTACGTCCTTCCAAGCGCAATCCAATGCAATCCCTGTCTACGTTCTCCTTCTCGTACTCCTCCTCGTCGGCGTCCTCGTCCTCGTCCTCGTCCTCGTCCTCGTCCTCCTCGCTCCCAGCCGCGCGCCTTGGCCTGCAGCTGTTCCGCGTGGGCGCGGGCCGCTCCTGGGGCGTGGTGGAGGGGAGGAGGGGTTTGGGGGGCGGCGGCGGCGGCGGGGAGGAGGGGGGAAGGATGATGATGATGATGATGATGATGATGATGATGATGATGAGGAGGAGAGGAGGAGGAGGAGGAGGAGGGAGGGAGGAGGAGGAGGGGGAGGAGGAGGAGGAGGAGGAGGAGGAGGAGGGAGGAGGAGGAGGAGGAGGAGGAGGAGGAGGAGGAGGAGGAGGAGGAGGAGGGGAAGGAGGAGGTGGAAGGGAGACGGCGGCCGGACCGTGCCCGCCCCAGGCCGACGCCTCGGCGGTGCTGATCAGAGTCACGGGGCGCTAGCGGCGGGGAGGAAGGGCGGGCGACGGCGGGGAGAAGGAGGAATGCCATGGGAATGCCCTGAGAAGTACCAGTAGTTCTATACACTCATAAGACACGGATAGTTTCCGTGCAAACCTTGCCTGAGACCGTGCCATCGTCGCAACATCTGCCAACCCCAATGGGAAGGCGCTACATTCAAGTAATGGATGTACACAGCCAACAACAATATCGCAAGACCTTCTCAAGGACCCGGCAAACAAAAAGTGAGGCATCGACAGGCCAGCCAACCAACAGCAGAACTCTCAACTGCCCTCATCCTTCACTCGCGCCACACTCCTGGCGCATGCCGATAAGCAAAAGCCGGACAACAAACATCACAACGCCTGGTTGCCCTCATCCATCACACGCGGCGCACTCCAGGCGCAGCGATCGTATGACGAGGCGCTTCTGGTCCCACATTTCCCAGCTGCGTCTGGCCGTCCAGCATGAGATAACGACATGCCTCCAAGGTCGTGCCGCCCCGACAAGCTACCCGAAGGACACCACTCCCTCGGGCGACCTCCCACCCGCACGCGCACCACGGCGGGGGACCGTGACCGTTGGAATACTGAGTGGGGATCCCCCAATGGGCCCCCCTGCAGGGGACCCGCGACACCGCCCGAGCTCTGGCGGGGTACCTGGCGGGCCTTCGCAAGGGTGCCGCAAGAGGTGCAGGAGTCTCTCCCCCGCCCGCCCCTGCCGACCACCGTGGTTCCCCACGACCCTCGCGCGGGCACCGGCGAGGTGACGAACGGGCTGCAACCCGCCGGTTCACCTGGGCAGGGGACCCATGCCACAGGTGCCGGGCCGGGCCAGAGGAGGAGGAGGAGGAGGAGGAGGAGGAGGAGGAGGAGGAAGGCGCGAAGGCAGGAGGGACGAGCTGGGGGACAACGAGGAGGAGGAGGACGACGACGACTACGACGACGTGTATTCCTTCGCCCGAAGCGCCCAGCGGAGGCCACATACGACGCGCTCGCGCTCGCGCTCGCGTGGGAGGCCGACCCCGCTGGCGAGCGCACCCCTCGGGGTGCTGACGAAGCTGGGCCTGGCCGGGAGGTGGAGGTAACGTTGGGCGTGGCCAATCCCCGATTCTGCTCGGCGGCGAGCCCGGGGGGAAGCGAAAGGGGGCAGGCTTCCTCAGGAGGCTGCGGGGATTCTCAGAAGCCCGCGCGCCGTCTGAGAGGTGGTCTGCATCCTCGGGGGCAAAAGCTTGGAAGACTTCTCCGAAGGCGCGAGGGCGTCTGAGATGCCCCGAAGCCTTCTGAGGAGGCCCGTCCCCTCTCGCTTTCCCCCCGGGCGCGCCGCAGGTTTGTGGGGTTCGACGGGACCGAAAAAAGGGGGCCAGACTCGGGAATGTGCGACGAGTGGGGGACCGTCCATCCTTCGACAGGGGTGCGTCCGACCGAAGAGCTCCCCGGGGTTGCCTCCCTGCGTTCCCCCCTGTTCTGAGCGGCCAGATCCCGGTCGGAACTCGGGAACTGGAACGAGAAGTTGCTGCGAGCAAAGACAGGCAGGAGACACAGTGGGAGGAAGATGGAGCAAGGTTCTAGATCAATCAACATCGAAACGGGTAATCGGACCGCATCCGAAATTGCGTCGGAATGGCCCCCATCGGCACGGAGTTGGAATTAAACCGGAATTGAATCGGATTCTTGCCTCCTCCTGGACTCCGAAGATCTGCACCCCTTCCCTGGAACCAGCTTTTCATTCCGGGGGCTCAGCAAGGGACTCTATAGAGGCCGAGTTGCTGTCCAGCGCAGCTATTCTCGACAGGGAAAGGGAGGGAAGAGGGGGATATGACGCGAGCCACCAGTGAGCATCAAACTACGTGTCTCCATTCGGTGCAAGGCGAGAGCTGCGCATGCCGATAATCAACGCGCCGACGAAAACATGGAGCTAGACCTCTGATTCCCGCACCCGCCCCGCCGATGCATCCACAAGGTCGCAGCTACAATGTGCCACTGAGTGCCACACTTCATGGAAGAAGGCAGGGGAGAAGCAGAGCTGACAGTCAGAGGTCGCGCGTTCGTGACCCTGATAGGCTCGTGCTGACGGACGCGCATAGGTGCCCAACGCCTCTGTGGAAGCCGAACGTGTCATGAAAATTTGGTGTCGCGACTTTCTCGCGGCGCGAATGTTTCTTGCCACGACGCTGACGACGACGACGAGCCGACGACGACGACACCCGGCTCGGCAGCTCCGTGCGGCGCACCGTACAGCAACTCGTGCGCCTCGTTTGCCTGGTAGCCGTACACGGAGCTCGACGATGCCGACGCGGCGCCCGACTTCGGCGTCTCCTCGCCGCCGCAGGGAAGGAGAAGACGACGGCAGGACGAGGACAAATCCTGATGAGGATCGATCGGAGACCCCTGAAAGCCAGCGGGACTGGAGGATGTGGAGGGGCCCGCGGCCGTTCCAGGGCACTCCAGAACGCTCTGAGATCATCTCGGAACCTTCTTGAGAGACGTACCCATCCCAGGCCTGTCCGAAAAGAGCACCCAGACATCCGACGCCTTGAAAACCACAGGACAAACGCTGTTTGCCGTTTCCGGCCTCCGGGACAGTCCAATGACGACTCGGGAGGAAAAGTCGGCCCTGGGCAAAGGGTCGAGGCATCTGGGGACCCCGTGTTGAAAAACAAAACATCAGATCTCTTCTCTCCCCTTCCTTTCCCTTGTATGCATCCTTCCCTTCCCCGGGCCATCTGGCGCCTCGAACCACTCGCAGCGGCCTGTTTGTCGTCATGTGTGGCCTCTGGAGGCCAACTTCGGGCAGCGGGGCCGTCAAAGAACGCTTCGGGATGAAACGCCAGGCCGAGGGAAGGGACTGCGAGGTCCAGGGGCCGACGCACCGAACAGAAATCAGAACGCCAGATGCCTGGGTCACCTCCTTCCTGTCTTGACCTCCTCCTCCTCCTCCTCCTCCTCCTCCTCCGCCTCTTCCTCCTCCTCCTCCTCCGCCTCCTCCTCCTCCTCCGTCTCCTCCTCCTCGTCCTCCGTCTCCTCCTCCTCCTCCGTCTCCTCCTCCTCCTCCTCCTCCGCCTCTCCTCCTCCCTCCTCCCTCCTCCTCCTCCTCCTTCCTCTTCCTCCTCCTACTCCTCCTACTCCTCCTCTTCTTCCTCCCCCTCCTCCTCCTCCGCCTCCTCCTCCTCCTCCGCCTCCGCCTCCTCCTCCTCCTCCTCCTCCTCCTCCGCCTCCTCCTCCTCCTGCTCTCCGTATCGCGGGAGCCCAGCCACTTGTGGTTCCCAAGGCCGCAGCGGGAGCACTGCGGGAGGGGCTGCTGGACGCGGAGCGCTGCGGGGGAAGGGTGCCCAGCGCCCGCCGACGCGAAGGGGCGGCCAGGAGCAGTGGGGAACGGATCTGGTGGCCGCCATCATCAGTTACAGTCGAGGTACTACCAGAAGGAACGCCACATCAGGAACAAAAGGGTTTTTCTGGCCACGGTGGGCCTAATTAGGCCACAGGCAAAGCCCGCGACATAGATCTAAGAGACGGCCCAAATCCCCGAGCCCCCTCCGAACCCAAAGCGGTCCTTATTTCAGCGTCTTGGCTGTACAGCAGTGGGATCAGTGCGTGCGCGTCCAGAGAAGAGTGGCAACATGAAGGGGGGCTGATCACCAAGACGCGGAACCTGAATGCAATTACCTGGGGCCAGGCGTCGGCAGCTACACTGGTGCGAGCACAGCATGCGAGGAAGGAGGACAATGGCAGCACGTGCTGGTGCCGTGCCGAATGGGGGGAACACACATCAGGTGCTGGACATCATCAGCTACGCTCCTGATACCCGCGTGTGCGATAAAGGCGGGCAATGGCAGCAAGGGCTGACGCTGCAAAGCGAGCTCTGAGGGACTACTCTGGTGCCAGACGTCATCAACTACACCGCTGCGGCAAACGTATGAGAAAGACTGATGTCAATGGTACCAAATACAGACGGGGCGGCACAAGATCCGGGAACCTGATCTGGGACCATACGTCATTAGCCACACCTGGCGGAACAGCATGTGCAAGAAGGAAGGGAAGTGGCTGTACGCATCAACTCAGCTCAGCTACGCAGGTTCTGAGTCAGGTGGACCAGGACACCTTCAGCTCCACTGCTGCGACGTGCGTGCGAGAAGGAACAGTGGCAGCAAGATCGGGCACAGCGCAGCGTGATTTGGAGCTCAAATCTGGAGCCAGTCGTCATTGGCTACGCTGTCGGGATGAGTGAGTGTGAGACGGACGGGCATCGGTAGAAAGCAGAACCTGACACCATCAAGCTCTCTGCTCGGAGCGGCGCGTGTGAGAGAGGGCGCCGTGGCAGTACGGACAGCCTCTGGCCAGCGAGTTTTAGGAATCTGAACCTGGCACCTGGGAGCCAGGCACCGCAGGCTACACCCCTGCTGGGATGTGCGGGCACGAGGGAGAGCAGAGGCAGCAAGCGCCGACGCCGAGCACCGCGACCGCAAACGGCAGCCACCAGTGTTGCGAGAAGCAGCGGGCGCAGCACAGCCAGCGTCCGACGACCCTCGCCCATGGCGAGGACCAGGGCTCGGTGAGGCACAGCCCAAACAGCGAGAAGAGAAAACAGAACCGAACATCATCGGCTACTAAGGGCTGGGATCGGGCGCAGCTGGACGCGAGGAAATGCAGTGGACGGACGCCCTGCTACAAGGCGCCCGACGTCGTCGGCTACGAAGGAGTGGCTGGCGAGGGGAGCCGATTCAATGATAAACCTACAGTCGGCCCGTATCAGAAGGATGCGCGATAAGGATGCAAGGGCCTTGGACGCCCACCTCGAAGCTTTTCCAGCGGGGCGCGGCCGACGAAAGTGGCCAAGGATGGGCCGATGAGGCAAGGATGCAAGGGTACCTTCGGGAAGGTTGCCCATCCTAATTATGCGGGTCGCCTGTAGTCGCCCAGGACAGAAATGGGGTAGTGGTAGGCATCGTTCGTCGCATCCAGTCGCACCGTTGAATCGCTGGACGGTCCAGCCGGTAGACTCCTCTGGCTCCTCCTCCTCCTCCTCCTCCTTCTCCTCCTCCTCCTCCTCCTCCTGGAACCGACTGCGGGTGATGGCGTGGGCAGACCTCCTTGACACCGCCGGCGTCAAGGAGGCGACCGACCAGCACGTCGAGAGGGAGAGGGGAGGAGGAGGCAGGAGGACCAGTCTTCGTACATGGACTTGCAAAGAGGGCTTTCCTCGATTGCGGCCTCTGGGACCCTCTTCAGGCCCTGGGGCAGAAATCAGTCGGGGACAGGAAACTGGCCAGGATGGATGTCTTTCGAAGGGGTCCAACACTGATTTGGAACAGAGTTTGGTCGGGAAGGGGGGATGCAGGAATCTTCGTGCTCCCACCCGTTCCCAGTCCTCCCCCTCCGTCCGACCTGACCCTTCCTTGCACCTCCGCACAGTTGCTCCCATGACCGGGCCAGAGGAGGGATGGCAAGGCGGGTCGCCTCCACGTGGCTAGCCCCCGGACCCCGTCTCCCAAAGTGCTGCCACCTCTGGGAGGCGCGACTTCTGCCTCCGCCAGCGCCCGCGGGCACTCCCGGCGGCTCCCGCGGGCGGAGCCGCCCCCGTGCTGCACCCGTCGTGCTCAGAAGCGGAGCGCTCCGCAGGGAACGAACGGGGCTCCCCTGACCACGGCGAGCCTTGGCCACGAGCAGGCCCCCCGTCTCAGACTTAAGGAACGGCCCGGAAACCAAAGCACCGCCCGAATCCACAGTGGTCCCTTCTCGGCGGTGGACAAGCCTCCCTTTAATAAACCACCCTCTAGTGAAAACGGCCAAGGACCGAAAACGACGGACCTGGAGCCGCACAAATGACGGCCGCGACGCCCTCTCGCGAACCGGAAACGGCCAATTCGCTAATCGACGTGTCAGGGTAGGAGGTCTATCAACCTCCGACCTTATTTCAGCGTCTTGGCTGTACTTCCGCCGCCTCCCGCCAGCCTTCCGTCCAGGCTCAGGACGCGCAGCACGGCTCCAGAGGCCGCGGGCCAGCCAGCGGGGGTCGGGGTTGGGTCGGCCGCCCCCCCCCCCGCCTGCGCTGAGGAGCGGCTACCTCAGGGGGCGGCCCGGCTCAGGGGGAGCAAAATATCGGCCTGGAATCGGCGATGCATCGCCGATGCATCGATGGCAGGCCCCCGATGGCCCATGGCGAGCCCGCACGCTCCCGGGCGGGGCGGGCTTGGGGGCCCCTATGTTGGCGATCCATCGGCGGCTCGGGGTTCAAATGCGTCCCCCCCTGAGCCTCTAGCCCCTCCTGGCGCTCTGGCACTGCCCCTGAGCCGACCCCCGCCGCGGTGCGCACCGGCCAGCCCCGATGGCATGTGCCGCAGGGAGCCCGTGAGCCCGCCGCGTGCGCGGAGCCCCGCTAAGGCCAGCGCTGCGCGCGCGGCCCCCCCCCGATGTCGGCGCGGCTCCCTGCCGCCCGTCGTGGTGCGCTCGTCGTCCCACTCGTCCCACTCGGAGACGGTGGCCTGCAGCGGCCGCGGTAGGAGGAGGAGGAGGAGGAGGAGGAGGAGGAGGAGGAGGAGGAGGAGAGGAGGAGGCGGAGGAGGCGGAGGAGGCGCGACGGGCGGCGGCGAGCGGCGAGCGAGCGGCGAGCGGCGGCGACGGACGGCGGCGGGCGGCGGCGACGAGCGGCGGCCAGCGGGCGAGCGGGTGCGGGCGGCGGGCCCTGCGGGCACCTCTGCAGCAACGGGACCCGCCGAGGCGGAGCCCGCCGAGCAGAACCACCCGGCGGCCGGTGGCGGCAACCGGTGGCGGCGACGGCGGCGGCGGCGGCGGAGGAGGATGATGATGAGGCACCTCTGCAGCAACGGGACCCGCCGAGGCGGAGCCCGCCGAGCAGAACCACCCGGCGGCCGGTGGCGGCAACCGGTGGCGGCGACGGCGGCGGCGGCGGCGGAGGAGGATGATGAGGAGGAGGAGGAGGAGGAGGAGGAGGAGGAGGAGGAGGAGGAGGAGGAGGAGGAGGAGGAGGAGGAGGAGGAGGAGGAGGAGGAGGAGGAGGAGGAGGAGGAGGAGGAGGAGGAGGAGGAGGAGGAGGAGGAGGGAGGCGCAACCGCCAGCGCGCGCTCTTAGGTTGACGCCGTGTTGCACAAGGAAAGATATCGGACGTCTGGGTAACCTCCAGTGAGGCAATTATCTTTGGAAATCGGGCAAGGTTGCCTGCATGGACGGGGGAGAAGGGGGAAGAAAATAAGTCTGGAATTCTTGCAAGTCGGAATTCGCTTGCACGCCTTTTCGGCCCAGCCCTGCTTGAAAAGGCTGCGGAGGGGGGAGGGAAGTACCATGCAAGCAAACTTGCCTGA